CCCCCCCCTACTGACATTTTATGGAAAATTTTTTGTTTTCCAGAAAACGTTTTGGACCGGCCCCCAAAATGGAAGGGTCCAAATCGTTTAATTCACACCCCCAACCAGATATAGCTCGGCACAGCCCTGTTTGTACATGTACTCATATTGTACAATTAAACATATAATTACCCATTCAGATTTACTATTCATTTCATTGCTATGTGGGTGGGTTATGTGATATGTTACTGCCTTGGACATTGGCATGTATGCTTTCAGATAGGTGACCAATATGCGAGGAATAACATCTGTCAAGTCTTCTACAAAGGCTTCTTGAACTGCAGGTGTCGGGAGAAACTCATCCATACATAGTGCCTGAATGCTCTTCTGTGGTTTGCATGTGCTAACATCTTGTGGATAAACTCTATCAGCTACTGCATACATATGGAAGTAATGCAATGACTGGTTGGTTTTAATGGTTGTTTGACTTCTGGATTTTACTTCAATGTCCCAGTTATCTCCAACTACCCTGTGGTTTAAATTGTAAAATTATCTTTAAAATTATACCAAAGTATAATTTCAATTTTTAGTGATATTTTTTAATAATGTCAAAAGTTCTTACCCTATTTAATTAAGAGTAAATATTTTTTGTTCTCTGGCAGTTTCGAATATTTACCTGTATCTTTTGGCATGACAATTATTGCTGCTTATTTGTTCCTAACACTTCTTCTTCATCATCATAAATGTTTGTGTCACACGCAGGTAGTTTAGATATGCATTTGTTATAGATATCCTCGGTGTAACTTTCACAATTGCTTACAGCTTCTTTATTCAAATTGATTGTACAAAGTTCCATACTGTCTTCACTTGTTTGATGCTGACTTTCAATGACTTCACTAATAAATCGTTTTTCAGCGTGAAAATTCAGCAGTTCCTGTTTCCAAGAAAGAACGTCTTTGTCAAAGGTTTGCGACATTTTCTCTTGCATATTATTCACGGTCCGAGGATGACTGGACATACCTAAAAATACATAAAAATATTTATCTTTCATGGGCCGGTTGTTCGAAGGTGGGTTAGCGTTAATCCTGAATTAAAATTTAACCTGCTGTTTTAGATAGAATATTTCTGCACGTCTGCTTATTTCAAAACTTCAGAGAAATAACCAGACAAGATTTAACCAAACAAGGTCTCTGAAGAAATACTTCCAAATATATAGACAAGCTGCCAGGAAGTTTGCTTTGAATTTTACGTGAACGTAGGGTTAAGCTAATCCAGCTTTGAACAACTGGCCCATATAGCTGTAAATTTCCGCGATAATCATATACTAGTAAAACATAATAACAGATCCAGTATGGGGTGATAAAATATGCATTCATGTAAAGACTTACCAAGATCGTGAAAGGTTTTGATTTCTGTTTTCTTGCATCCTCCGGCAGTAAGAATAACATTATTTCTATAAATAAATTTCGACTTTGCAATCCAACTGTTTAGTAGTGAGGATAATGCAAGCACTTTCTTGTTAAAAAGTGTTTTCGGAGATTTCTGTCCAGATGTGTGTGATACAAAGCCATATGTAAGTGGCAATTCAACCTGACACTCGTTAATTAGTTCAACTCCTTTATACTCTGCAAGTTCTTCAAACGAACCATTAAAACGAAACACAGACGACTTCATTTTCGAATAATGTTTTAGTTCAGTGCGTGCTTCATCATAAAATTTCTTCACAAGGAACTCTTTCATTGTTGGATTTCTAAATGCTGCCAGATATGCGCTTTTATAATTTTTCGTTGCCAGATTTTTTACAATATCCCTTTCGCTTCCAAAACATTCATGTTCAATCACTCTTGTGCTATAACCGACGAAGATCTATTTGAAGAAATGAATAAATTGTTTGGTCTTTCGAGGATAGTATAATACATTTTCAACAACAAATCATGTGAGTTTTGTATGTTATTTTTATAATTTTAGCGTGATACTCATGACCACATGGCACATGCATCCTTCTAGTGGCAGTGTGCGTGCCATATAGAGGCTTGAAAAGTAATCGGTTTCAATGGGTTTATAAAGTATGCTCAAAAGAAACAATATTAATAATTTTATTTCTCTAAATACTGTATATTATACATATATACCTTGACAACGGGAGGTGACTTTTTTTCATTTTCTTCCACAGGTAGGTTCATCAAGTTAGCTATGGTGTTTTCCAGCTCTAAATTCGCATTTATTCCTTGCCCTTGGTCGGGAACTGACAATATACTTTTTCTCAAATCTAACCGTCTACGCGTATTCTTATCCTTTGGACTATAGTGCATTGGCCTTGACGTTGTTTTGCTGTGAGGGCTCAGACCAGTCGGAGAAAATTTTTGAATTCTCTTTTGTCCCTTGCCCTTGGCATTCTGAGGCGGCGTTGACGGAGTACCAGTAACAAGTATTCCGTTCTGTTTGACTGCTTCGTATATCTCGTTAAACGTATTGTACATATTTACAACTTTTCGCGCACATTTCTTGCACACAGATCTTCGATTAGTTTTTTCTTCTACGAGCTTTATACCGATTGAAGATAAAAGAACACATAGCGTAATATTATCTGTGTGCACCAATTTTAATAAAGAAGTAATTTCTTTATTGCTGGTGGCACTAAAAAGCGGAACACTTGGGTTGAAAGTACCACGAACCTTAAAATTTGTGAAACAAAATGCACACTCTGAAGACATGTCAGACATGTTCGAGTAAGTGTTTATTTATATCGACAAATTTAATTCTATTTTTAGGCATATATGTGTCAATCAAATTTGTTTATTATTTCAGGCAACAAAGTGGGCGGTAGAGCGTTTTGACACGATTTTCATCAGACCTTCGTTTTGCGCCTCCCACCCGCGAATTTTAGGGCGAGCAAAACGAAGGTCTGTATTCAGGCTATGAAATGCTAGCTCAAGTTGTTAAAGCTGAAAAGACAGCGAGCACAACATGAAGCTCCACTGGAAGCAATAGTAACAGCCATAATAAAGGAAATGAATGAATATGTTGTATCTCGGGTTGGATATTGTGACATGACCAGGAGACGAAGACTGAGACACAATTTAGTGGTGACATGTGATGCAGTAATGCACACACTTAGAGTAATTGACCCCAGGTAGTTGAAAACTGGCGGCGTCATTGTCTACAATGGAGATACTGTACAGCTGGGCCAAATTTTCTGTGGCATTTAGACGGTTACATGGCTCTATTGACTGATTCTTCTTGAAGTTGGGTTCCACAAACAAAGTTCCTAAAGTGGTTGTCAACTGCGTTTTGAGCACAGTGCAGCAACTTAAGGGTGTATCAAGACTAGTTAGAACAGATAAAGGAACAGAAAGCACTTGGATTGCTGTTTTACAAAAGTTTTTCAGACAGAATGGTGAAGATGGCCTTGCAGGAAATAATAGCATTATTCAAGGAAAGAGCACAGCAAACCAAAGGATCAAATACCACAAGAAGTTATTTAATCCGAACTGACAAGAGGGATGTACGAATTTGTCAAGAGTTGTATAGCCAGCAATCCTGTGATTATTCTGAAGAGATTGAAGATCTAGCTGAAATTATCTCACCTGGGTATGAAATACCTATCGAAACTGAAGAAGCATTGCAATTGTTTGTTACAATTACCACAGAGCTTGACTGCTTAAGGTTTTAACAGCTTCTGAAAGGACTTGAGCCAATGGACTTAAATTTCCTACAGATGGAATGCCATATACTGGAATATGTATCCACAATTTTAAACGATACTCATATTTAAATGAAAGTTATATTAATATCATATAAAGAAGGTAAATTACACATATTACAAGCGTAAAAATTGCAGAACCACTGACAATGATGTTTCTAAACGACCAGCGCTGTTGGTTGGCACAATAGAGGTTAACAGGAGTTGAAGCTTCATGTTTCTGGAAGCGGCAAACAGCAGGTTCGAACTTTCTTCACAATTTTTTCGTTGAACATTTTTGTTTCATATTTTCTTTCTTGTGTCAAAAGAATCATTATGTATTTCATTGTTAAAACAGCAAGTTTATTTACTTTTTATAACATAACAGAAACAACCCAACTGCACATATTATGATATCAATGCTTTTTAAATGAACATCCAAATACATGCCCTTTTTAAAAATAGTCCAAAATCTGGATGGCATCTGGCCTTTTTTCAGCATCATAAACAAAGCATTTCATTAGTATTGCTTTCAAATTCTCATTGTCTGTAAATAGATACTGAAAAGCACATACATGTCCAATACCTATGCAAGATGTCTGATGGAAAAATCAAAAGGCCATTGGACATTCCATTTGTCAAATGGACCTCCAATTTTCCATTGGACTTTTGCGTGTCCATTGGATCCAATGGACAAATGGAATGTCCATTGGCCAGCAATGGATGTTGATCGAATAAGAGTATCACCCAATAAGAGACCATGTGAAGGTTGCCGATTGTAATAATGCATCAACCAGATAAGAGCTTCCACGTTTTTACCATTACGTAATTAACAGGTTGCAGGACCCCATGTGGACATGATTATGAAACCAGAGAGATGTTCCAATGGATCCAATTGGAATTTTACCTGTCCATTGGATCCAATGGACAAAATAACCTGTCCATTGGAAAATTACCTGTCAATTGGATCCAATGGAAAAATAATATGGAAGTCAATAGACATTTCTTATATCAATAATATAACAATATGTTGTTGCTTCATTCTTAACAACTCACGCAATGTATCATATAGCAATATATAATATGTTGTTTCTTTCTTAAATTAAGAAACCTACACGGAATATATCAATATAATGCACCAGTCATTTGAAACCCCCGACCCCCCCCTCCCCTCGGGGATACCCGGGGCATACCGGGGATATTCGCCTTGTTCTCACCGTTTTGTCCTTCCCCGGTCACTGGGGAATGCGCAAGTTTTCACTGCGCTGGCCATCAGGTCGGGGCCAATGTGCGGGGGATTCACTGATGTTGTTTTACACTGTATGTTAATATGCTAACATGAAGTACTACCTGTATATTCCCTGAATTGTTGGCGCTTGTCACCTCGTTGTTTTTCTAAATATTTACCAACCTCGCAAGCCAGTCTTTCTACTATAAAACTTTTCAAGCTTCATGAGTTCATGTCGACTTTTTATATGCCTTTTGTATAAATTGAAATAAATTCAGTATTTTTATTTTCCTCGTTGTTTGGTGAGAACTCAGGATCTAGAGTCTAAAGGTTCGGTCACACGGAGCGACAAGTCGCAGGGGCATGTTGCAGGGACATGTCGCAGGGTCGAATTTCATCGTGTGTCACATGTGTAAGCGTTGTCGCGGGGACAAAAACCGTTGCCGCGACTTGTTGCATCGTGTGAGCTAGTCTGTTCACAAGTCGCGGGGAAATAATTAGTCCGACCAATCACAAAATATCATTCCCATGACTACTTGCACGCTCAATTTCAATATAAGTCCTCATGGGAGTTCTTTGACTTGTCGCCTCGTGTGACCACACGCTTGTAAGCGCTTGTGCGACTTGTTTTCGCCTAGCATTGTCGCTTCGTGTGACTCGTTTCGGGCGACATGTCCCTGCAACATGCCCCTGCGACTTGTCGCTCCGTGTGACCGAACCTTAAACAAATATGCTTTGCAAAAATATTGCTTCAAAATTACGCAACCAGTTAGCCCGAAAATACTTTTTAAGTCTTCAGCATTGATCCTTCAATATGGTTTGATTTGTCTTTGGCATACTCTTGATATTTTCAGTTCGTGTGACATGAAGCTGCATGACATTTCAGGTTGCATGTTCGTGTTCTGCATTATTAATTTCTTTTGAAAGCGATTGTTTTTAAGGTCTGTGAACACGAATATATGAATATGCCCCCACCCCTCCCCCCTCCCAATTATCCGAGCTGGCTACGCTGCTGCCAGGTTGCGTAATTTTTAAAACAGGTGTAGAACAGCGAGTTATGTGAAAACATTTAATAAAAAGTTTCCAAATATGAAATTTTGCAATCAGATATATCATAAGGAAAAAAAATTATATAAAATAATAAAATTATACCGAATGTTTCAATTCAGCCACAATTTGACATGTTAAAGCCGATTTCCATTCAGTGCAAAATGTTGCACGATTGACTTTTTGCGATCACTTTCTTTTGAAATGTGTGTGGTCAACTCATCCGTTCAGTTGCGTTTTATTGCGTGTATTTCAAAAATCAATTGTGCGACATTTTGCACTTATAGGAAAATCAACCTTTACTATCATCTTTTGTCACGGTTTTAATTATAACTTCAGTATACAAGATTTCCGGGACATTTTGTTTTGTGTCGCATTAACATAGCGATTTTAAAAGCTACCTATATTGAATATCAGGGGATTTGGCCGGGTGAGTTCATCCTACTTTTTTCCCCCGGTGACCGGGGAATTAATCAAGGTTCACACACAAAGAGAGTGAATTCCCCCGGTATCCCCGAGGGGGGGGGGAGGTGGGGTTTTCAAATGACTGGTGCATAATATGTTGTTGCTTCGTTCTCAAGAGACCACGTATACAGACCTCTCAACTCTCACGCAATTCGCTTCACTCTCACGCCACGATTAGTTAATCTCACGCATATAGCAGTTTCATAGTATTTTTTCAATAATATAATATTGTATTCTTAATAAATGCACATTATTAATCATTATACGGATTGCTAATCGAATATATAATCGCGTGTTATTGTTCCTGCATATATGGCCCGGCATTTTGGCTTTTGCCCGCAATTTGCATGGATACAAAATAGTACGCATATGTAAATACGGCGGACAAAAGGCAGAATCAGTCAGAGCAGAATTCTATATGTAAATTATCACGCAAATTAAAGCTCATTACTGTATGTCACAGAAATACAGTTATAGTGCCTTGTCTCAATAAAGGACGTTATAAAGCAATGACGTATTTCATTAAAAAACACCAACTCTCATAATGTACGTAATGCCATTTCAGACCCCCGGACTTTTACAAAGGTGTCATCCACATCCCCAATCTCACTCTTAACTTCTCTGCAAAGTTGAGAGGTCTGCGTATATAACGCGGAAAGGAAAGATCCTTATATCAATCATGATATAATATGTTGTAATTGGTTCGTTCTTAACAAATCACGCAATATATATCAATATAATATGTTGTGAACTTTCGGTTAAGAAACGTACCTTTGTTCTCAAGAGACGCGCAATATATAATATAATTTTCCTTCGTTCTCAAGAGACCACATACATATAACACGGGAACGGGAAGATCCTTATATCAATAATATATGTTGCTTCGTTCTTAAGAGACCATGTGTACATAACACGGGAACGGAAGATCCTTATATGAATAAATAAATATAATATGTTGTTGCTTCGTTCTTAAGAACTCACACAATATATCATATAGCAATATAATGTTGTTCTTTCTTTCTTTCCTAAATTAAGAAACCAACACGCAATATATCAATATAATATGTTGTTGCTTCGTTCTCAAGAGATCAACTCATGGATCCAATGGAAAAATAATATCCAAGTCAATAGACATTTCTTAGCCTATATCAATAATTGCTGCCGAGCGAAGCGAGGCAGCTCTCATTTTCTTGACTCGAGCAAAATTTTAGGATGTCGGTATGTCGGTCAATTTATGACGTTTTGTGACGTAGGAGGAAAGTTGAAATTAGATACTCCAGATTGAGCGACGGAAAACAACTGAAGCGATCTAATTGTCCGACGATGTCTCGAATATGAAAATGGGGTATGGAATTATATATGACCATGCATATGACTCAGAACCACTCGTGACGCAAAAGTGTACATGATCCTCGTTTTGCTATTAAATATCGCGGACAACGTTTATTTTCAGTAATTTATCTGGCTGTTCAGACAGATACATCGTGTATCTTGGAATATATATCAAGGTGAGATGAATATTTTATTTTGCTGCGTTTTTGGCGTCGTGTAACCGGGATTTTTCGTGTTAAAATATTGATTTTTGTTTCCTTTGACTTTCAGGTACATACAAGTGGGAGTTGTTTATCGATAATTCCCACTGCAGGATCCACTGTGTTCCTCTCAAATTGTGAAATAAAATCAAACGAAGCATTGTGTTCGTTTATATTAGACCAAGCCAAGTCATTGTTGCTTGCTAAAAACATAAACAGCACTTTAATTTGTGCGAACAATCCATACCTCGAACAAATTCAAAGAGATATAAATTTGTGGCTGTTGACAAATTTATATATAAACCTGTTGTTGTTGACATTTGACAGTCACGTAATTCATAGAAGCCGTACTGGTCGTGCAACGTACATACAACATCTTATAGAGGTAAGATCGTTCGTTTGTTTGTTTAAAATATTAATAGCATTGGTATACTATAATGGGAATAACAATTGAGCAACATCGTGCCCGAATTGGAGCACACAATTGTATACGAATAAACAAGTACTTGAGTTTTGTGCTCGGCGACGTTCGTCACATAATATTGATGTTATTTCAGTTGGTTATGACTATTATTGTATTAGCAATGTCTGTTCGAATATGTTATTTGAACATATATGTGGGACGTTTTACCCAAGTGATAGAGTCATTCACTCAAATAACAGGTTACATTGTGTATATTCCACTGTTGTTGAGAATGGCAAATGATGTTGAAGAAAACCCTGGGCCGACAATATATGATGTGGTTGACCCAACTAAAACAATCTGTGCTGATTTTAGCCAAGGCAATGCCAAAAAATTTCGACAAAATGCTGGTAAACAATGTTTAGCCATGTCCTTGACTGCAATAATATATGATCATATTACAAATGTTAATGGATGGGATTCCGTATTATTGAATGATATATTGTGTACTGGAAATAACCTTTATTCTTTTATAAGCAATTCTGTTAAGAAAAGCTATTTACTTTTAACTGATGTGCCAGAAATGGTCTCAGTTTTTGATCACATCTATCATTTACAATTTGGTGACCCATTTGCAGGTGACATATTCATGACAACTACCAATCTACCTTATTATTCTTTGGAGAATGCTTTCAATAATCTGTTTGGAGTGACTCAATTAAACTTTCAATATTGCCTGTTGACTATTAATTACAATACTGTTGCAATTTTTAAGACTTCTGACGGAACCTTTAAAATATTTGATTCTCATTCAAGAGATTTATATGGCATGCCACACCCTTTAGGCAAATGCATATTAGCATCTGTTGAAAGTATAGAAGACCTGGTAATTTATTTCCAGAGTACTATACCTCGAGGCAATGAAACAGCTTTTGAAGTGAAAGGACTAGCTGTTCAGGAAACAAATTTCAATATAACACAAATAGATGCACCTACATCGAGCCAAAGTGGAAAGAAACATGTGACACTGGAAAGTGACAGAAAGTATAGGAAAATGAAACGAGCAGTAGAAAATGAAACTGAAAAACAAACTAGACTTGAAAATATGAGAGACTATAAAAAAGCAAAACAAGCTGTTGAAAGTCAAACTGAAAGGCAAACTAGAATTGAAAATGATAAAAAATATCGAAATAAGAAACGAGCACAAGAAACTGTGATTGAAAAGCAAACTCGTCTTGCTAGTGCTAATGAATACAAGAGAAAACGTAGATCTTCTAGTTCAAATCAGGGAGATTATTTAAACAAATGTGACATATTAAATGGCAGTATTCAAGAACAGAGTTGGGCAAAGTCTAACATTAATAAATTTAACAAATCTATTGAATTCTTTATCAGTCAATGCACAATATGTAAAGAGGCATGGCCATTAAGATCTAAACCAAAATCACACGATAGTTATGTATGTTTACGATGTTCCAGAGACACAAAATCTCCTAAAAAGTTTAGTTTTGAAAACTCAATGATTCCTTCACCTGTCCCAGACGAGTTACAAAATTGTACTCAGATTGAGGAAATGTTGATTGCTCGAGCTCTGCCTATCATGAGAGTTTATATTAAACCAGGTGGACAACGAGGTTACTCAGGCCATTGTGTTAACTTGCCACAAAACATAAAAGTACTTGCAACATCCTTGCCAAGATATCCGAAAGAATTGTCTGTGATTATTGTTAAGGTGAAAGGTAGAGATAATACTTTTAGAGATGTTACTGTGAGAAGAGAAAAAGTACACAATGCCTTATTATGGCTATTGCAAAATAACCCTCATTATTCTGAGTTAGAAATTAATGAAGATGCATTAAACTCTTTGCCTGAAAATGGCATTCCAGCAGATCTCATGACAGTTGAGACTGAAAATGAAATAATCTCAAATGATGATGTCATGCCAGATTTGGGCCCACCCACTGATAACCTTTCTGAAGATATAGTTTATAATGACTCTACAGATATGAATAGTTTCTTGCCCGTTGGTGACCAGCAAGAACGAGAAATAGAAGCAGTTAGGAATCAGCTTTCTGCAAATAAACCAATGCCATGGCCCACTATTGAAAGTGAACCATTGAATGAATATCAGATATCACATCTGGCCACTATGGCTTTTCCAACATTATTCCCTGATGGAAAGGGCGATCCAACTAATCAAGGTCTGTTGAGGGACGTTGCTCTTCAAGAAAGAGTTAAACACCTTTTAAAATTTGCTGAATATATTAATGATAAGTGGGTGTACCGTTTTGCTAACCACCCTAGATTTTCCTACTGGGCTTTTAACATGATTCAGAGAAAACGTATTTTACAACAGAGTGGAATATTCCTAAAACAAAATCCAGGTGAGGCACATCTCACTATTGATGAACTTCGTGCAATGGCAGCAAGTAACAATGCAGATGTATTCATGTCTAAAGTATCTAGATATGTTGGCAATATTGCAGGTACAAATGCTTACTGGAACAAGGTGAGAGAGGAACTAAAAGCTATCATAACCAATGTTGGAGCACCAACAATATTCTTTACTTTTTCATCAGCAGATATGCACTGGCCAGAATTACATGCTCTGTTTGGAGAAAATACTGATAATACTGCTAGTGCTCAGATAAGACGACAAAACGTTATTAACAATCCACATATAGTTGATTGGTTTTTCACACAGAGATTAGAAAGCTTCATTAAACACTGGCTTTATGATACTCTTGGTGCTCAATGGCACTGGTTTAGATATGAATATCAAGGTAGAGGAAGTATTCATTGTCATGGTACTGCTAAACTAAAGAATGACCCAGGTTTGTGTCAACTTACTCAGACTGCTCTAAAAGGATTCTTAGCTCAGAAATTTAAGGACAAGAATGATTGTCTGGATACAACAGAACTAGACCAGGATATTGAAGCTGGTAAGAGAGCTGCTGACACAGCATGTCAGTATGTTGATTGGTTGTTGTCAACTGTCAATCCAAATCCACCAGAGAAGGACATGTGGATAAGACCACAAGTTCACCCATGTCAGAAACGTTATAATGACATCCCTGCATTTGAAAAGGAATCTGATTATGTGGATCTTTTGAATATGGTTCA